TATATTAGTTGCTTGTCAATTTTGAAATTTCAATTCTTTATTTTTAGGACTTAGAAATTTAAATGGCCAAGTTTAAAATTTGATTTTTAAAAACCCATGAAATCAATCATCAAATGCTGCCAAATTTAATATAAGCAAATTTGAATAAAACTTTCCAAAATAAGAATGTAATTAATGTTCTGAATTTTTATAGTTACTAATTTTGATAAATGATAATCTATACTTATATTAAAAGGAAACCTATTTACTAAATATAGTAGGTAGAAAAGTCAACTTTAATTAATGAACTTCTAATTTTATCAAGTAGTAATTAATACATTTATAATTTTAATCAAGTTTCCTATTTTACATATTATTTTTAATCCTTCTTATCTTGACATAAAAAAATTCCATAAAATGGGGTGAACAAAAACAATCAAAATTCTGTTTCTAAAAACTACAAATCAATATTACGATTTTGAATAATACACTAACATATTATAATATATTTTTATAAAACTTATAAAAAACTATCAAAAAAACTTGGTTCGTATATTTGTATGGATATTTATATTTTTTTAATATTATCTTTGTGTTAAAAAAAACTATTTAACACTATTTTTTTTATTATATAATAAAATAATAATTAAATATTATATGATAAACAAGAATAAATAAAACTGTTACTTTTTTCTTATATCAAGGGATAATTTTATATACTGAAATTAAAGTTTAATTAGTATAAATATTTTAGTGAGATAATATATTAATTATTTTACAAGCTAGCCCTAACATACTCATATTTAAGTTCTGGCTAAAAAACAATGTTGGTTAAAAGATATGAAAAAAAACTTATAACCTTATTATTTTTTAGACTTAACATTGATCAAAAGAGGTAGAAAATAGATAATAACACTATTACTTTTAAGATTTAAACAGACAAGACAGTTAAAATAACTCATTTAATATCTATGTTCCGTGCATCGCACGGGGTACGTACTAGTTCTTATTATATGTAAATATAAATTAACCAAAAAATCTATTACACAAAGTTACGATGATATATAGGGGCTAGGATTCGAGGAGATAAATACCGTTTTGTTCTTAGTACAAAAAAATTAGACTAGCAATTAGAGGATGGTAGTAGTTAGAGCTGTCAAAACATGTCTTGATTTTCCTACTAAATGGTTTGTATGTAATTTTTTTTTACCTCTTTTAGCTTTTTTTTTTATTATTATTTTTTTTTTTTTGCCCAAGTTCCATATTGATTGCTCTCTTAAAACGGTTTGTATCGTGGTGTACTTTTTCACTTTTTTTTTTTTTTTGCCCAATCTATGCTTATGTCTGTCCAACCCTTGTAGTTGGCCCCCCGGTTACTTCGAGCGCAAATACTTAGGTGCACCCTGGCACACCTAGCAAGGTGTGTCAACGCTTTTTTAAAATGAACATAATACTTTATAAAATGAACATGTGTAAACAAATTTACACATGTTCATTTTATAAAGTAACATGTTCATTTTAAACTGCCTTGACACACTAGGTATGCCAAGTCACACGGTAATAGCACTGTACTTCTCGAGAGTTAAATCGTGGGATGTGTCATTCTGCCAGTTGTACCGCCCCCTTATACTTAGCGCCTCAAAGGTTAACACCATATTTGTCTTGTATTTATTAATTCCAAATAAGCTTGGCTTTGTTTTGGTCATGTGATTGAACATGTGCTGCCAAAATTAGCTCCTACAACTTTTTTTTTTTTTTTATATATATTATTAAAAAATCAATATCAACGTTAAAGTAAATAAAATTTTCAAGGACAAAAAATTCACATTTAGGTTCTAAAGTTTCCAATTTGTTTGACCACAAAACACTTATTTTCTACAATAGTTAGTGCACATAACCAATTTTTTTTTTTTTTTGTATAGTTTTCATTCAACTTTTCGTGGGATACAATTGTCTTGATGAGAGCATATCCCTGCACACATTCTAATTTTCTTTCACTAACTAAAATAAAACACAAAAATTAAGCAAAAAGAAAAAAGACAAAACTTTGATTCTATGCGATTAATTAACCATCATATAGATCATAATAATTTATAGGGTTATCCAAAGCAAGAACTCGTTTGTTTAGTAACTTAAGAATGATTGGAGTAAGTTCGAACGACATCCAAAATTGGAGCTTTACATATTGGACATTTTCCACTGTTCCATTGTAGCTTATGAGCACATTTGAAGCATGTGCACATGTGGCCACACCTGAAAACCAACATCATAGTTTAATACAAGCAATACATATAATATATAACTATAACTAAAACATTCATATACCTGTAAAGAAGAGAATCAATTTGCATTTTGCAGCAGACACAACACTTTCCTTCACTTGCTACCTTATTCGCTACACACTGTCTTCCATTCTTTGTTTCTGGCAAAAGATCAACAATTTTTGGATATTCGAAACTTATATTTAAATAAATCCAAAGATTGTTGTGCATGTACATGTGTTTTCATATCGGTTGCTTCATCAATGATAGTTTGGTGATTGTTATTTACATGCAAGGGATTTATGGGACAATCTCTTAAGAATTGATTAAGAAAATACCTGAATTATGTAAATTTTTTGTATCCTCATTCTTTATGGAACATTGTAATTTGATTTGCATGTCCATGCAACATTTAATCGAGTTTTTCAGTTCAGACATCTCTCGGTGCAGTTGCTCCATATGCCTTCTCAAGTCATATATAAGCTCCAAATCCTGTTATCCATTCAAAAGTGCAAAATTAGTGTCAAGTAGCATATATTTTGAAGTGTGATAACTACAAACAAAAAACTTACAAGTGACGGATGGACACTATCTGAGGAGTTAGGTTGACCATTTTCTGAGTAATAATGTGATGAAGATTCTTGTGCAGAAAGAGAAGCCAACCGAATTGAATAATCACTCAATTCACGACCTTGATTCAGCTGAGACCATGATTCTAGTGGAGACTGTGTGATAACATCTGTGTAGTCATCCGAGTCGTTGTTTTGTTGCTCGTTAAAATTATCAATATTGTAGTTTTCTTTACCATTCTGCTCTTCTTCTTCTTCCCATTTCTCTGGTTTGGTTGATACTGATACTTTTTGTTCTGTTTGCCTCTGATCATCGTTTAGAATTTGTGGTGCTTGAGCACGAGCTATCATAACCTGATCTATTTTTTTCCTTAGGGCACTGGATAGAAAAGTAGAAACAGTTTTCCTGAGAAAAAAAAAAAAAAAAATCGATTTAACTTTTTTTTTTTTTTTATAATGACAAGTATAATATTCTATAACATGATTAACACATGTAAATAATTAAATTTACACATGCACACACCTTCCAAGGAGGACTCGAATGTCTTCATTGTTGTCTTGGAAAGGATCAAGCATCTCTTGATATCTTTCTTGCCTTAGACCTTCCCAGTCACTCCGAGGGCGAGAAACTTCATCTATCCACTCTTTGTTTCTTTCTTCTTTTTGTTGGTTATCATCATCATCATCATCATCACACTGCAACTCTTCCCATCCAATTTCTTGATTGAGAACATCACTCTCCCAATACATGCAATTGTTACTCGACGAAAATTCCTCACAATCACCTCTTGTAGTTTGGTTGTGATTGCTTTCTATTACCTCATGAACTCCATTGGCCTCTTTCTTTTTGTTTTGTATGTTGCACATTTCGATATTATATTCAAAATTTTCCCTGATATTGTTTTCAATGTCCGAATCACTTCTAGCATTCAATTCAGATTTAACTTCCTCTAAATTGGTTTCTTGCTTCATGAAGATTGAAAATGGACGCATTTCATGATCGAGCTTTTCATAACTATATAGCAGCAGTCCAACATTTTCTTGTGCATCAAGTGTTGTTTGATGATGAGAACTTTGTGAACATGTCATGGAGCCTTCGGGGTGGTCTAGGATGTGATTTGTCATCTTTTTTTTGGGTAACCTCTTTGTACACATGACTTCATTGGATCCGTTTTCATACTTTTGTACATTGGTTGCCCGCAAAATTGTTGACGTATCATTTTTTGTCACTTCTTTATCGCTTTGTTTACTGAAGTTAGGTCTTTCCCTGAAATAATGGAACACATTTAATAGAATCAAAATTTGGTTTGTTTAAACTAAATAATTGATAGGGAACTCGCAATGGTGCAGTAGAAATGCTTTAGATATGAAAGAATTTACAATAACTAGCTCAATATCAGTTGTAACATCTTATAAGATAAGATATCAAGAAAATGCAAAGCAAAGGTTTGAATGTGAAATAAAAAAAAAACAAATATCAGCATATTTGGGTTCCATTATATTATAGAATAAATAGTGAAGACAAAACCTGGCATTTAAAGAAGAAGGATACTGAGATTTTTGTGTTTGAGATGATTTGTGATTTGGATAGCAATATTCTTTAGCTTCCATGCCACGATGCAGGAATCGAAACCGAAGCAGAGCCTATTAACGTAGAAAGGGAGAGATAAATCATGAATTACAAATGTAATTAAAAATGATTACATAATTATATACAATTATTAAGAGGAAAAAAATTAGAGAAGAATGCAAAAAAAGTACCTGAATGCGACCTCGATGAGAGAATTTGGAAACAGGTCTACGGGCAACAATTCCCTGGATTTCTATGTGTCTATCTCGTTCCATCCTCACGAGCAGATCATTAAACGCTTGTCGGCCCCTAATTCGTGGTGAATTAACGATTGGCTCCGATTGATTCGGTAGAGAGGTTCGAGGAGACTCACACCCAGTCTCGTTGTTGTCCGTCAACTTCTTGATGATGTCAGCAACCCTCAGCCTCTCCGTCTCAGAATCCGAAGGTGAGCCGCAGGTTCGATAATTGGAATCCCAATCGCCATAGCTATCTTCGTTGAGAGAAGGGGCAGGTGTTGGTGGATCTGCATAATTGTCCACATTTGTTGTCCTGCTAATTATGTTATTATTATTGCTATTTGTGCTGCTTCGTTTGGCCTCAAACCCTCTCCATTTTTGAACTAAAGAGGAGACGCCACGTAAATTGGAACCCTCACTCGAACGATCGTTTGATGAGAGCTTGTCACGATCAATGGGGAAAATGATTTGGCGAGCTCTTGACCAATTATCTTTATTATTATTATTATTATTATCCTTTTTGTTGTTGTTGTTGCTGCTTGTAGTGGTGGTGGTGGTGTTGGTAGGACCGGATGGATTATTGTTTGGTGTTGTTGTTGTTGTTGTTGTTTTCCATTGAGGATGGTGAACCCATAAGTCGTCAAAATCAATGTGGTGGGAATGGGATTTGTTGTCATTGGGCATGCACGAGGAGTTCACCAGCTTATTCAAACTGTTCTGTCTAAAACCAAACGGAGACGAAGTCGCGATTTCCACCTGAGATGAGGCCATTGAGAATACTCCAGATTCTATATATGGAGAAATTGAAATGATCACCAAAGAATCTCAGAGAATAGAAATGACGACAATTTCATCATGAAGATTGATAAAATGACAATGATAATTTTGGTACGAGAATAAGAATTTTAGTGGGAGAGGGAGAGAGGTTGTGCTCTAAAGAAAAAAAGAAACAAAAAAGGTTGAAAGTTGTCGACAATAAAAATGAAAAATATGGTGATGTAATGTAAGTAAATAAATTGTGTGGCCAACCATAATATTAGATCCAACAAAAATGCCCTTCCCTTACTTTTTTGTTTTCATTTAATGTATACTCTACATATAAGGCATGCATGTCTATTCATATGGATATACGCTTGTTTTGATAAAAGAATATTATTATAAGGAAAAAAAAAAAGAGAAAATGCAAGTGATAAACTATATTTATGCTTCAAAATAAAATTAACAAACTTAAATAACAAAAAATAGTATAAATATTCAATTTATATTAAATTAATCTGACTCTCATCGTGTGGGCATTTGAGACAATGACCATGCTTGTCCTTTCAGATTTCACATGAAACATTGGAAGGAACTCACTTAAATTTTAAACCCAAACGAATTAGTAGTCATGGATAACAAATACACAAATAATTACATTCTAAATAGTATAATATATTCAATTAATCCAGTATCATTCTAAAAACCAAATATATACATATATATGTTTTACTTTTATTGTGGCCAATCCTTTTAGTGGGAGCAAGGCTATGTTTGGTAACCAAAAGCTAACTTATAAGCTTATATATCTAAGTACACTTCATTCGGTAAGACGAGTTTTTTTAAAAAAATTTGAGCTTATTTAATAAGTTTCTTTGGGTAACTTTTCAAATAAGCTCGTTGAAATTTTCATTTCAGCTAGCTTATTAATCAATTTTATCAAACCTTTTTATCATGTAAGCCAACTTTTAAGCTATAAGTCATAAGTTATAAGATATAAACACAAAAATTATCAGTTATTAACTAGTTTATCAGCTAATTTTGTCAACCATAGTTTGGGGTCATGTTTGTATTTTGTGTTTTCCATTTAGTATAGTCCCCCTTCATGTATAATAAATTGCAATGCTGTTAATTTTTTTATTTTTTTTTTCATAAATAAATGCATCATTGCAAACGGGGGGTAAACCGTAAGCGAGAGTGGGTCAGGTAAACAGGTGAAATCGAAATCGAAATAGCGAGAGACGCAGGGATGCCGATAAGCGCAACGGCGGCGGGAGCCCTTTTCGGATTATGGACTCAGTTGTACTCTAACAGCCTTCGCAAGCTCCCCTACATGCGCCGTAACAATTCTCTCTCTACTTCATCGCATTTTCTTCTTTTTTCCATTTTGGATTTTTCATTCAAAGTCTCTCAAAAATTGGTAGATCCATGGGAGCATCTGTTGGGAATGGGACTGGGAGCTGTGTTTGCGAACCAGCTTGTGAAGTGGGACGCCAAGGCTAAGGAGGACCTCGAGAAAATGCTCCTCAAGGCCAAGGAAGCCAATGAACGCCGCTACTTTGGTAAAAATCCCCCTTTTCCCTAACCACCGTTTTCACAATTTGGTGAGATAAAATGGTATCTTAGTTTGCTTTGATGCCTAAGCTGATGACTGCTCTGTGTATATCCTGCTCGAGCAAATGATAGGTTATCTTGATTGATCCTACCTATTGCAGCAATGGTTTGTTAGTGTGCAAGTAGATATGGAACTAAAACTTTATGGCAGCAATGAAAGAATCTGTTGGATCCAGTGCCAACGGGTTTGAATCCGTTTTGTGGGTGTCCTTGATGAGACTGCTACTAGTTTATAATCATCTGTGGTGGATGTAAATTTCATTTCTTAGTGTTATCATGTTGAAATCATTCAACATTCACAATACTTGTTTAGGCAGTCAGGGAATTTGGTATTATCATGGAAGTGCTTACAATTAATCATGTGACTGAAGGATATACTGAATGAATGATTTCTGTGTCAGTGATCATATTGGGTGAACACGGAAGATATATATGTTTGATGTGATTCGTTAGTGAAAATGTCGTTTTCTGAAAGTTACATCCGCACCCCTAATACAAACTGCTAACAGATTTTTGAGTTCTTTTTGTGAACTTTGTTCTTAGCCTTGTTTCATTTGCTTGGTTTGAGCACCATTTTTACTTGGTTAATCATAACTTATGTTTGCTAAAGATAGGATTCTATAAAGAAAAATGCTACAAGTGCATAATGAATGTACATAGAGGTGTACATAACACTCTCATGAAGTGGGGTCCACTCGATTTTTTAATTTTGGTAGGTCCTACTAAATGTGAGTGTTATGTACACCCCTATGTACAATATTATGTACCTATAACATTACTCTTCTATAAATTACCTTTCTATTCCTTTGTTGTGCATTTTTTTTTTTTTTTGACTGCGTATTTATACTAGGTGCTGTTTAACATTTTTCTTCTTGGATTTTGTTGTTGCAGATGACGATGAAGATTAAAGTCACACATGTTTGAAACACTTTTCTTGTCCCAGTATTTGGTATGAGATTTTGTGCCAGCTGATGCTTGGTTGTTTCCTTGATTTGTACTCGGGCTTTTGGCTCAAGATATCTCTACACAGTTGCTTACTCCAGAGTATGTGTTTTTTAGAATAAATTCTGATGCTGCGTGCTAAGTTATGTTCATCAGACTTGAGTGGTTGTTGGTTTGGCACACATTATTTTCCCTCTATCTTCATAGTAACATGTGGTACATGAACATGATAATGTTTTCTAATAATAATTGGCAGAATACATTGAACTACCTAAGAGCACTCTCAATGCTTTGGGTCTCTTACAAAAATATCATATGCCATGTAGAAAATAGACTTAGTCTATTAAAAATATTTTCCAATGCAATTAAAAGTAGACTAGGTCTAACTTATGTGGCAATCAAAAAATGAGACCAAGTCTACACTAGAGTCTATTTTGGACCCAAGTACAAACCTGAACAATCAACTTTTATTACTAATTTAATTTTTCTCTTAATATAGAAAATATTTTAGAGCATTTTTATTGGTTGACAAATATTCTAGACCAAGTATTTTGTTTTTGCGCTGGATGATTTTGGATTTTTTTACTTGGGTTTGTCCATGTCATTCAGGATTTAAGTCCATTTATATGGCACATATGTAAAATTGAACTCAAAGCATTGTTATGTTTTGGTTTGTGTTTTAGTGCGAAAGGGAATAGAATCAAGATTTCTTATCTTAAGAATAGAATCAAGATTATCGTGGTTAGGGATTGGATATGCCTTCATTTGAAAAATTTTGTCTCTAGAGAAAAAAAAAAAAATGTGGAAGAGTTAATTATTTTTTAATTTCTTGTACAGACATGGATAAGAAAAAAAAAAAGAAAAATTGAAAGGATAGATCGCATTCTCTAATGTTTTGTTTTTTCAAACAAAGGTAACTAAAGCAATTAAACAGAAAGGAATAACAGATTCAAAGTGAGTGCAAATCATCATTCAGTTACTATGCCAACCACTGTTTGTTACAACAGTGAGATTGACGAAGAAGAATGTCAAAATACCACACGCTTTAGTTTCAAGAATACAAGTTACGGGAAATATGAAGTAAGTCAAGTGCATCTGGACTAGGTTTCTCATAGTGAAGGGTAGTCTTAGAATCCCTGAGTAGATGCACCAACAAATCGCATGCCTGCCGGGAGGTCGGCCTTTCGGCAGGTGCTGTCTTTGTGCAGCTCAATGCAATCTCAAGCAATTGGTGCACACCACTTTCTTCATTGGGCAACAACAAATGCTTCAACATTGGATCGACAATCTCTGACCCTTGTTGAGACTCCAAATGCAATTCTACCCATCTCACCATATCCATGTCCAGTCCGAATCTCCTGTCTGTCGGCATTCTCCCAGTCACCAGCTCCATAAGCACAATTCCCATGCTGTACACGTCGCTTTTCTCTGTTGCCTTCATAGAATATGCATACTCTGCAAAACAAAACAAGTAAAACAAAACAAAAGGAAAAAGAGCGGTTAAGAACTCTTTTCTTACACAATGACACTGTTAAATTGGCATTTTTTACAGGCTATTACCTGGAGCAATATAGCCATAAGAACCTGCAAACCAAGAATTGGATTCCGTGTTTAGAGAATCATAA